CTAATACAAAAAATAACTTTTAGAGGATCCAAAAATTTGCGCTACTATAACAGAAAAAACTGGTACATTTACTAGCGATAATTATCCTCTACCTTATAACCCAGAAACGGATTGTTATTATCAAATCATTAAGTATAATAGTGCAGTTTGCCAAGCAAATCTTCATTTCTCGGACTTCGTTGTTGGTTCAGAAAACGATGCCACGTGTGTCGAAGACTATTTAGAGATTCAAGGAACACGCTATTGTGGTGTCAGGAGAGGAGAAAATGGTTAGTATTATTAGAAAGGTTTAGGCCGAAGTTTTCATCTCTCAAACGTGAACGTCGAACGTCAAACGCCGCTATCTTTAAGCGGTGCTCGACGTTCGACGTTTACGTTTGAGAGATGAAAACTTCGGCCTCAACCTCTCGTATTCTGCGTTAAAGAACTTAATAAAGTTCTTTATTAATTATTCTTTTAGTTGTGGTTGGTTTTCCTTCGGATAAAAATGATATTTCTTTGAGATTCTCAACTGATGCATATAGAGAGAGATCAGGATTTCGTATTGAAGTCAGCCAGATTACAGAAGGATGCGAGAAAGCAACAGATGATGGTATAATTACTCTTTAATAATATAATAAATATTCAAAATTAAATATAAATATATATAATTTTTTTCTTTTTAGAATGCGGTGGAACGTATACAAGCGAAACATTCCAAATTGTTAGCCCGGGTTACCAAAGCGGAACGTATAAAGCTAATTTGGATTGTAAATACTTAGTTAAGAAATCTTCCTACGACGTTTGTGCTTTAGAAATTAAATATTATATATTCGACTTAGAAGAATCGGAAGATTGTAAGAAAGATTATTTTCAGATCGGTGACATAAAATTATGTGGAAAATTAGCCTACGATTCGATTCGTAAGTGTATTAAATAGGAGTATAATTCAAAAATAAATTATCGGTTATAGTGGAAGATTTACTTCACCTAATTTCCCTGCTTACTACGGTGCCAATGAATATTGCATTTATACAATAAGACGACCGAATATTGAAGTATGCGTTGTCGAACTTGAATTTAAAGTGTTTGATGTAGAATACGGCGGATCAGTTTGTTCACGCGATCATTTAGAACTTCCTGATAAAACTCGATTATGCGGAAGAATTTCTGGAACAAGTAAGACCAAAATACTGTAAAATATATACGGTGGAAACTCGATTATCCGAACTTGGTTGGACCAGGAATCTTTCGGATAATCCAGAAATTCGTTTGTTTTTGTTTTTTGGATACATAAAGTCCATTTAAAATTTTACTAACCATAAATACAGTAAACCCCCTATAACACTAGATAATTCCGTGTTATATGAATTCCATGTTGTACGAGTCACTTAGATTTTACAACATGGAATTCATATAACACGGAATTATCTACAGTGTTATAGGGGGTCTACTGTACTTTAAAGTAACTACTGTATTTGAAAGTAAATTAATTTATTCAAAAATCTAACGTAATGTTTCGTATATGACCTAGTTTCGAGGCGCTACAATCGATAGATGTATTATGTTAATTTCCAGTTAAATAAAGATCTCTGTGTATATTCTGTGGTATGTACAATGCTACACGTTCAAACCGTTTTGGATAATCGAGTTTCTACTGCATATATATATATAACAATTTTATGATTAAATTGTATAATTTTTAATGAAGGGCAAATAAAATATGAAGGAGCAGAAAAGAGTCTAATATTAAGATTTTCCAGTAATGCTTATAGTTCTGGAAGAGGTTTTGATATTCGTGTGTTGCAGAAACCAAATTCATGTCCAACTAGCCCAAAAGGTATTATTTGTCTAGTTAATTGTTCTAATTGTTTATCACATTTTATAAAATTTGTTATTTGTTTATATCTTTTTAGATTGTAGTTATGAAATTCGAGGCCCTTATGGTAGAATGACATCGCCTGGTTTTCCCAGAAGATATGGCCCTTCTCTTAGATGCAGATACACAATACACAGGCCAGATTATTCTACTTGTAAAGTACAACTGTTATTTCGTGTTTTTGACGTATCTTATAGCATCAACTGTGTTCAAGATTATTTAGAATTACCTGATCGTTCTAGAGTATGCGGTTCTTACATTCAGACAAGTAATTAGAATGAAATATTTTTCTAAATAATAAAGCTAATTTTATCAATCAGTTATCACTTTATTATTTCATTAATTAAACTAATTGATAATGATTATTTACAGAAACAATAGAATATCCTGACGAACATACTCAGACTCTTGTTATGTATTTCATCACTAATAGAGCTGGTAGTGGAAGAGGCTTTGACATAGATATTCGACAGTTAGCAAATTCTTGCAAGAAACCTCCTCATCCGTGTAAGTTGAGTAATACTATAAGAGTTATAAAATTAATATAATAAAAAAATAATTCATGCAATTTTGTATTCAGCATCGTGCGACCAAGCAATAAAATCCGAAACTGAGATAATTACTTCGCCGGGTTATCCAGCCGATTATCCGAGAAATGTTAAATGTTCTTACAAGATCCATAGTTTCTCTTTAACAACGTGTANAGGGTTGCGTGGCGCTCAAACAAAAGACGAATCGACGAGATTTGAAAATCGCTTAACTCCGGGTTCGCGTAAGTCGGGGTATTACTGTAACTTTTAAATGATTTTTTTTTATTTTAATGACGTTTTAATTTTCAAAATTGATTTGATTTTATTTTTAATTTATTTAATTATTATTTTATTGGGCTGCAATGTGAAAAAATTGTAGACTTATAAATTATGACTGTCGTCCGTCCGTCTGTATTCCTTAATTTCGATAACGGAATTAGAAAGACGAAAGATGAGACGAGATATGGAAACTTTAGAAGCCACAGGCCCCTATTAACTATACAGGAACTTCCCATGCAAAACGCAAGTCACGTTATTCACTTCAAAACTTTTCACCTGAAAGCAGTTAAAAGATGATTGGCGTGACACTATTGTTAAAGGAAAAGTATGATGTACGGGTACAGGGGCAGGACATTACTAATTTGAGGTGGAGAGAATATGTTTTAAATGAAATAAATTAAAAATGTGGTTAAACATTGCA